TTTTGAGACGGAGTCTTGCTCTCTTGCCCAGGCTGGAGTGCGGTGGTGCAATCTCAGCTCCCTGCAACCTCTGCCTCCCAGATTTAAGCATCTCCTGCCTTACTTAGCCTCCTGAGTAGTTGGGATTATAGGCACATGCTACCACACCTGGCTAATTTTTGTATTTTTAGTAAAGACAGGGCTTCACTGTGTTGGTCAGGCTGGTCTCAAACTCCTGACCTCGTGATCTGCCCGCCTCGGCTTCCCAAAGTGCTGGGATTACAGGCGTGAGCCACCACGCCTGGCCTAGTAATTTCTATAATAATACATGTTGTTGAGCTGTATTCTGAAAACAAACCCAGGCTCATTTTTTAAAGTTTTCTGTTCAGAGGTTCATAACTGTAAATGTTTATGGAGACTTTGAAGTTTCTTAGGTATTAGTATATAAACAAAGCTAATTTTCGTTAAAAGTATTTTCAACATCAAGTAATGTGGTTGCCTGTACTTTGTCTTTAAGATGATCAGAGTTCAGTGCTTTTTAAATTGGAGTTTAAAAATAACTGAGTAATGAATTGACAGTCACTAAATGACTGAAAAAAGGACAAAGCCTGAAAAATACCAGTAAGAATTCTAAAGGAATTTGAATGCTACCATTTTCATAATATAGCAATGATACATGAAGTGCATTCTAACTGGAATAACCTGTATTCTACCTTTTGATAATTGAGACGTCAGATTGGTGAGAGATTAGGTAGACATACGGAGGATTGTTAACACTGTTAGTTAATATCCGGTTTTGTGCTTAGAGAGCAAACCAGATTAAATTTTGTATGACCTGGGAGTAGATGAAGTTTGTTGACAAGTAGAAAGTAACACAGTGCACTGAGTATTGACTGTTAAGTATTGTTTGCATGTTTTACTCCTACTATCAAGATTTAGATTCAAAGATGCTTTGCAGTATTTTTAAAGTCAAAGAGCCATTGATATGAATTAGAAACTTCAAACTTTTAAAAGTTTTTAGGAGTCATGGAAAAGATAGTGTTTGGAATACATGCCAGAAGTCATGTGTTTTATAAATAGAATATTATAGGTTAACAATGTAATTTCTGTTTTTTTTAAATTGTCTCCATCATTAACATAGGTTTTCCTTTTTGTTGTTATTTTTTAATGATTCTAGGGCTGTGCTTCCTGGAAGTGGTATTATCCATTTCATTATGCACCATTTGCTTCAGACTTTGAAGGCATTGCAGACATGCCATCTGATTTTGAGAAGGGTACAAAACCGGTAAGCTTAATTATTTAAAGTCATAAAATTTACAGAATTTTGGATTAGATAATAATCTTGGATATTAACTTTTTTATTTTTGCAGTTTAAACCACTGGAACAACTTATGGGAGTTTTTCCAGCTGCAAGTGGTAATTTTCTACCTCCATCATGGCGGAAGCTTATGAGTGATCCCGTGAGTCTCTGTATTTTGAATGTGTGGGTGACAGGATTTTCATCATACATTTTATTAATATTAGTTACAATTGCCTTTGCAGCGGATAGTTAAAATAGTGAAGTACAGAAACAAAGTATTTTGAGTTATTTTCTATGTTTTTTACTCCACGTACGCATATTTTTCTTGCTTTCTTTGGCCCTGCACAGTAAATAAAATCAGTTTGTTTTTTGGAGAAATTTTTATAACAGTTACTTTGTTCTCTGGCTACCTGTAAGTCTTTAATTTTATTTATTCCAGCCGTATATTGTAGCTACCAGAGTTAAGGAGACTGCTTTACACCAGGTCACCTGTGAACTTGTTTTATATGCTAGCTAGAAAGAGTGAGACCCAGCAAGGATATAGGAAGTGTTAGAGTGTGTAAACCCTTTACTGTCTGCCTGCCTGTGGCCTGTAGTTGTCAGTTCTAAAATTCTTCTACAATAATGCTTTTCCTTTTCATCTTTAAAAATAAATTGTTGATTTTGTTTTAGTATATTTGTGATTAATGGCCTAATGTCTCTTAACATTTTTTAAAAGGAATGCACTTTATTTTCTCATCAGGACTTATAACTTGAATGAAAGTCCTACCAAATTCTTTATAACAGAGATGTGTGACTTCTGTTTCAATTCTTTACTTTTCTCCCCGATACAGGATTCTAGTATAATTGACTTCTATCCTGAAGATTTTGCTATTGATTTGAATGGGAAGAAATATGCATGGCAAGGTAAAATTCAGATGTTCTTTTCTGGTAAAACTCTAAACGTAATTTTTGAAATGAAAGTGAAATCTCATCTCTACAAAAAAATACAAAAATTAGTGTGGTGTGGTGGCTCTCACCTGTAGTCCCATCTACTTGGGAGGCTGAGATGGGAGGATCATTTGAGTCTGGGAGGTCTAGGCTGCAGTGAGCTTTGACTATGCCACTGCACTACAGCCTGGGGGGCAGAA